TGCAGTCACATTTTCTGAAACCCTGCCCAGTACCAAGGGATTGTTTTATTGCTGTTTGACGTAAAGATATTTCTACAGCAGGGACATCCATCTTCTTTCGTTAAAAATCTCTTTTTGCAAACACTGAATTCAGATTTTGCATACAATTGTTTTAAAATACCTGTTTTAGTATCAAGTTTATAAAAGCCATCCTCTGTTTTACTAAGAACCACAGCTAAAATTGAACGTGCTCTGTCTTCTTCGTGTACTTTAATTCTCATAGCGAAATCTTCATCGACGTTTGCGTGCTTTGCATTAGAAACTGCTAACATTTTCTTTGCTTGCTTTTCTAAANGCAAGGGGAAAACCCTTCCCCTTCCTATGGATGTCTTCCAAATTTTGCGACTAGGGGCGCTGCTGTCGTTTGCATTTGGTCGGGCGTAGTCGCTTTACGCGTTACCTCATTTGCATAGCTGTAGCTCTCTCCGTTTGCAAGAATTTCTCGGTTAAAGGGATTTTCCTATGCACCCTGTATTTACAGGTACTCTCATGTTAGGCAGTAAGGATAATATTTCAATGGTATAGTTTGCAGTGCTTGCTCTTTTATTCTGCGAATTTTGTATAGTTCCTCCAAATTCAGGGAGAAAATCCTTTCAATCTTGAATTTCCTGCTGTAATATGTCCCTAAAATTATATAATATTCTACAAAGCTACTTGTGGTACAGTACAATTACGATATAAACTCTGTTTCGAATAATGAAAAGCACACATTGAAATATATCGATATCAAGTTTAAATAAAAATATCTTTTTACAGTAAATCCTTGCAAACTTAACTAAAAGAGGATGAAGTCTGAGTTATATAATGTTCCAGTTAGCAATATTTTTTACAATAGTAATTTTTAAATATCTAATACAATCCGCTCTATACAGAAGTTTACTGATCCGTATACTGCTTAAACACATGAAATGAACTAATAAATTTTGAAAATTTCGTATACAGTATTAAACATTCTCTATCATCTTATCTACTATAATAATATAATGAACATTATTGCGGTTTTTCATATATCGAAAATGCATTACTTATGACTTTTTAATGCCAAAATATTTAAAATTTTTTTTTTTCAAAACGATTTTACTGAGTTGTGCAAAATCTGACTTAAAATGGGATTTACTGCATATAGATTATTTTATGGTTATAAGAAATAGTTTGACTTTTATAGAAGTAATAACAAAGTATATTTGACTTTTTCCACCCTATTGACAATAAGAGGACCTTTCTTATTCAGTCTATGCTGAAAATATTTCAGATTTATTGATCTCGCTGGAATTAATCTCAATCACCTTAAAACAATTTGATTCCAAAAAAACTAGACTAATGTCAAGCTGAGGAAACGAACAGATTTTTGTCATCAACATTCCAATCTATTCATGATTATTTGCAATTTGCGTTTGTTCGGGTAAAAAAGTGGATACCGATGGCAAAGTTTAAGAAGTAAAGCAATATTGAGAAATATGGAGTACACTACTTGAAAAGATTATTTATAGTTGGACTAAATAGGTTAATTGGAAGTCATTAGGATAAAAAGTAGCATATATTGCATGCGTTATTTATCGCAATTTACGTTGCTGTTAAAAATAATTTTTTTGTGTAATTCATAAATACACGTTAGTAACCGCATACCCCACATACCTGTTTATTTTTTAAATTTATTTTACATAAATTTAAATATACAAAATTATATAAACTTACTCTCAATGCAACGTGAACATTGATAGGTAAAAGGTCATCTACGTTATTCATATCTTTGGAAAACCGATTTAGAATTTTTCCTAGAAAATATCAGAATAATAAATATTATTTGAATTAAAAACTTATGTAAAATATACTTATTCCATTATCATTATTATTTATAAGACACCGCATGTATCATCAACATAAACAGTTCTCAGATTGAAATGCTCTTGGTTTTCCATCCCTAAAGTTTTTCTAAGATGTATTTATCTTTTCAAAGCGTATAAATAGAGCAATTTAATATATTACAGCTGTTATTATGTAAATATGCTCACGAAAACGAAATGCAGTAGAAAGTTTCACATATGTTCTAAATACTATTTCACAAGATTTTAGTAGGAATGATTTGAAAAGTTCCTTTCTTCAACTTTCTCTGCTTCAATTCCCAATATCACTTGTATAAAACACTTCTTTACTAAAATTGTTAAAATTGTTTACTTTCTTATTCTGAATTTTTGTTGCTTTTAACTCAAATCTTTTTATTACTCTCTGTTTTTGCATACTACAGTATATCAGACAAGAAATGAGTAATGAGTATATCGTTTACAACCAAACTATATTCTTGGTGATCATAAAACAATATATTAAGCTTCTTACATCTTATGTCTAATTTATTATTTATCACTCTATTAGTTGAGTGCTCAGCATTTTTTTTCAAAAGCGAAATTTTCAAAATATGCAATTCATTGACTTTGCATCGTTTGTTTGTTTTCAGAATGAAGAATTTATAGGAAAATCAGTGAGTGATGTATTATCACGTGTCAAACATGATTAGCACAATTTGTCGAGGTATATAATAACTATATGTTTACAATTACAATAGGTATTATTCCTATTATACTATCATAATAAAGAGTACACCTGGGTCTGTCTCTAAAACTCAACGCAAATAACGCAAAATTTAATTAAATATTTCAAGTATCTTATGAAAAACATATCATTGATCATTCTTTAACTTTTTAAAGAACGAAATACATAATTTTACATACCAGCAGGATTGTTATCCAAAAATGAAATTGGAGTTCGAATAATACAATGGAACATATTCTTGTGCAGCTTCAAAGATGCAGCAATGAAAAAATTGTACAATAATAATCCAGAAATTGTCATCGTAAAGAACACTGCACATATTAGTCCAAAGTAAACATATACATTGTATTCTTCACTATAATATAAATTTTTGTCTTCACTATTGTTAAATATTCTTGTCTTAAATGTCATATTTTCAACACTATCAACATTTTCCGTATAGATTCGTTTGTTGTGCAACCTGAAAATTAAACACGTAATAATAATTAATTTTCTGAATTAGCTAATATTCGTTCGACAAGCAGTAATACAATAATACTATTTAAATCCGTTGAATAAAAGTAATATCAATCAGTTCAATTAGTAATGTTGAAATATATGAGATGGTCAATTGGTCAATCTTAAATGCATAAAATGAAATTAATGCAAATTTAAGCCGCATTCTTATAATTTTATCGTCGAATGTAGAAGTGTGAACATTCTTGCTATTTCTTACGTTGTGGCTGAAGCTTTTGCAGATGGATGTCACTGGACACATTTGGCAATCTTAGCCATATTGAAATTCTGTGATTCTGCTTAGAAAGCACACATTAAAGTCTATTCCTGTAAAGTTTCATCCAGAAACTAAATCATGTAATTCAGATAACTTTCTGTAATGTTCTTTTCTCATTTCCCAGATTCCCCCGATAGGACCACTCACGCTCGCATTTCGATTTACAACTGGTTTCACAATATGCCAGCCTAAACCCCCAGAATTCTTATTGAAGTCAGATCTTGTAGGTGAGATAGACAATAGAAAGATTGCCGACAAAAGGGGTACAGGAAACCTATTCTGTACATAGATACAATTCGAGATGAACGTATTAAATGATATTCATTTCAACTCGTAAAACTTGTTCGATTACGCCTGAAATTTTTTATCATGCTGAAATAAATTTGACATAAATAATGTAATGTTTCTTCATTAAACTTGTATTTAAAAAACTGTTTACATGAATAAACTCATATTTACCATAAAAATAGCATACCATTTGACAAGCCAATAGTCGCTGACATTTGTAACGGATTGTGCTACAACTAGCATAATTAATAAGAACATCTTGAAGAGAAAACTTGCTCCAGCATTCAAATATTCTTTATAGACTGAAATTCCTATTGTTCCATCTTCTTCATCGTCACGTGGTATTTTCTTATTTTCATTTTCCTACAGGAAATATTTTTAGAATTATATAAAATATTCGTTGAATTATGTCTAAATCTATTTAAAATATTTTACAAATAAAAAATCCAACGTATCATTTATTCAAAAAAACTGAAAATTAGATGTGCTATTTTTGATTGATAATAAAATAAAGTATTCTCTTGAATATTTGTGAATTAAGTTATATGGTAATAGTATGGAAAAATAAAAACGAAAATAATAATAAAAAATTATCACAATAAAATATAATCACTAACAATGAAAGAAAAAACACTGTCTAAGTATTTTTCAGTATAAATACAGAGAAGCCTCTGATCTCAAATTCTCTTGTCAAATCACTTCTTACTTGGAAATAAATTGTCGGTCATGGCAAACAGCCTGCATATTATAACATGATATTTACTTGTAAAATTCAATAAATTGTAATGTATCTGAATACCATACATCGTTAAGAGAAACTTAGGAGGTCCAAACCAACCTATTTACTTCCGGAATCTTATCTACTTGTTTTCAGATTAGGTAGTTTTAATGCAGGTAGAAAATGTGAAAATATCTGTCGTTCTTACTGGTCCAGTGGTATTTAATCTGCTTTACCAGATAACGTGCTTTCTCAAATTAATTGGGCCATCAACATTCTCTAACCTAGAAATTATAGGCGTTGACCTTCTTTAATCTATGGTTTATTCTTGAGAGGTATCTTGTTCGGCAATCGAGTAATCATACGTCAAACAGTGCTAATATGAGTTCAAAATTCTGTACGTGAATCACTTTGTTCAAAAAGTAAATCCTTTGAAAACTAAGGATTAACTGTATTTAATAGTTTAATTTGACGTTTCATTTGAATTATTTTCATTTAAATAACTGCTACATAAAATCTGCTTCGAATACTTTTAATTTAACTGAAAGTATAAAATTCTTGCAGAATTAAACTTACTTGCATACATTATAT